AAAATTAGCTCAATTATTTGACGACATCGCCGTCAGCATTGATTCTGTGAACGATCGAGAGGCAAAAGGTGAATTGTTGTACGACTTTAAATGTTCGAGAGATGCCATAATAGAGCAAATGAGACACCTAAACCGAAGTGCCCAACAAAATTTGACACAACGAAGAGATATCGAAAATATGGATGAAAAAACTTCCTATGCAGTAGTCGATTGGATGCAGAAGGAGCTTCCCTGTGAATATCGAGAATCACAGGAAAAATACTATGGTAAACGTGGAATGAGCGGTTTGGTCAATAGTTTTACAGTGAAAGAAACAAACGAACAGGGAGGTTAGTACGTGAACCCAGTAGCAAAAATGAAAATTTTACTGAAATCTACAAACGCGCAAACAAAAACGAAAACTTTCGATCTTTCAGAGATGTTTCTCACTTGAGGAAACTGGCTGAAAATGTGTTCTGCAAAAACTTTGACGAAAAAAGTAGCAAAAGTTTTTCGGAAAACATTCTTCGACAGTTATCTTAAAATTCAGCCACTTCCCTCAACTAAAAGAATTTTCTGATTCAATAGCTCGATGCATAATTCAATTTTCTATCGATCCGCGCAAACCACAGATTTTTAACATTAAATTTCGATTTTTTAGAGATGTTTTTCCGAAGCCCTCGATATTTCGCCTTTGCAAACTTTTCGGAAAACAAAAATACATGGACTAGAAAGAGAATTTGACGCGCATTCCAAATATCACATTATTGTTGAATGACGAGCTTTCCTTCAGTCTGTGGTCGCAATTCTTTTTTACCAACGTTTAAAATTATATAATTGTAAAAGTTGGTAGAAATGGATTTCGCCGCTACGGACGAAGGAAAGAGTATATTTCAAAAATAAGTTGATATTCGAAATGCGCGTAAAATTCTCTTTCTAGTCCATGTATTTTTGTTTTCCGAAAAGTTTGCAAAGGCGAAATATCGAGGGCTTCGGAAAAACATCTCTAAAAAATCGAAATTTAATGTTAGAAATCTGTGGTTTACGCAGATCGATAGAAAATTGAATTATGCATTGAGCTATTGAATCAGAAAATTCTTTTAGTTGACGGAAGTGGCTGAATTTTAAGATAACTTTCGAGAAATATTTTCCGAAAAACGTTTCCCACTTTTTTCCGTCAGAAAAACGGATTTATAGAATTTCAACTGGTGAAATAAGTAGAGGAAGCCGCGCTCTTTACTGCTGTGAAAACCAGATGTCGCTGTCGTTAAAAATGCTTATTTCATTAGCAATGCATGAACAGTAGCGATGAAATTCTCACTTGCTGGAAGGCGGTGCCCGAGAAGGACGAACTATGCTGCAAAAGCCACCAACTTTTAATAGAACTTTTTTACTAAGGACAAAGAATAAACATTTTGAACGAAAGACTCCTATCTCCGTCCGGCTTTTGACGAGAATAAGGGTTTTTCCGCGGGATTTCGAGGCTGGCGATCTATTTTCTGCGTGCTTGACTTTCTGTTATCACAGCTTGCACCTTCGGAGAAAGGATTGAGGATAGAATAGTGCGAGGTCTGTGAAACGGCTGACGACTTGAATTAATCTTTTTCCTTTAGAGCTGGAGTTGAAAACTTATACTTATATCGTAACGCTTACTCATTCCAACCAGGATGAACAGACGACGCTTTCCGCTGCACAACTTGCACTTAAGGCTTTTCATCAAGATCATCCAGAAATAACAAAAATGATTAAACGTAGTGACAATGCAGGCGTACTAGGTGGGCATTCTACTGCAATGGCTGAAGTAGCAGCACACGAAGAAATCGGAATTCAACTGCTGAAACGTGAATATAGTGAAGTTCAAGCAGGGAAAGCGGTCTGCGACCGAATGGCCGGTGTCGCAAAACAACGGCTTCGTGGCTGGCTCAATGCTGGACACGATGTACTATCTGCATCTGACTTGAAATTAGGTTTTGAGAGTTACGGAGGTATGTGGTACGAAGCTTCGAGCACGTAAATATAAGTTAAATGTAACTGAAATAGCCTAAGGTACAAGTTACTTTTTACTATAACTAAAAAAATTTCTAGTTTCTTTTAACAAGTAACTTTTTTAGTTAAGTTATAAGTTTCTTCTAACTAAAAGTATCTTTAGCACAAGACTGCTATCAAATCCACTTTCGCTGAACGCCTAATCGAGAACAGACTTCCCACCGGAGCATTTGTTTCTTTTACATTTTTAGGTGTCAAAAACTTAAAAGTTTTAGTTGCTGAAAAGGACTACAAGGCTAAACCATTGGCAAAAGGATCAATCCCAGAAGTGAGTTCAGTGCGTAGTATTGAATATACAGACGATGGCATGCTTATTCGAAAAGCAAGTGGTATAGGAAAGGGTAAATTAGTGCCGTATACCTCGCACATGTTTAGCAACAATTTGACTGAAACAGAAACTGTAGAAAGAGCCGATAAAACCAGCAGACCACCAGTTATTGTCAATGTTGCCACTAGTAAACGCTCGGATCGTCAGTACAATCCGATATATTTCTGTCAAGAACAACAGTGTACTTCAACTTTCGAATGTGAAACGGATTTAGCTTTACACATGGCTGCAGGCTTCCACAGCAATGCCGGTGATAATAAGAAACTCAGTACGTATGATCAGGCAAAGTTACAACTCTACGATCGCGTACAACAACAACAGTTACCGCAAACTACCACACAGTCGATGTTGAGCAGAAATTCCCCCACAAAAGCAGCTGATTCACCATCATCTTCAACAACATGTATGAAATCACCTGTACATATGCAATACTTCAAAGAAAGTGGGTGGGGTCTGCGTGTTAGACAGCCACCAGCGCATCCTACGCCACAAATGAAAAAATTCATTCAATGTGCCTGTAAGGAGAAAAGTAGGGGGGTCGGGGACAGACTGACAGGAGAAGAACTTCACAAAAAAATGAGAGCGGCACGGGACATCCAGGGTGCTAAGATGTTCCAACCGAAAGACTACCTCACACCTCGCCAATGTGAAAATCAACTAAAACCATTGTATTCAGGTAAGAAAATTCGCATTTAGTGTTTTCCAAAACGGGTTTCTAAACCAATGAACCCCTTTTGACGCGCTTTATTTTTGTGATCACTCTTGCAGGGCGTAAGCGGAAAGAGGAAACCGAGGCAGCTGCAGATACAGAAAAGACTACATCAATTGCAAGATGTCGGTCTCGTAAAAGAACATCCAGAACTGCGTTAGGTGTTTTCACTGGTGACGAGGATGAGGGACAGCAAGATAATTTGCCAAAAAAAGTTAGATCCGTCGAAGCTCTGCGACCTCGACCAAGTCGTTACGTTACGTCGGTTTTTGATAACGAAATGGACACGCAGAATGAAGATGCGACCTCACCACCACCATCCGTAGCTCAAGATTCAGCAATTGGCATCCCGTTGAGAACCACAAGGCAAACAACAGCTGCTGGAACAAATTATCCTGTCACTACTACAAGTAACAGTCAGATGTTTGAGGAGGAGGAAGATGAAACAGACGAAGAGGATGAACGTGCAGTTCAACGAGCCAATGAGATTGTGAAAACAAGAAGGAAACTGTTAAGTGAACCACCAAAGAGTAAAAGTAAAAACGTTTTAAAGAAATGACATGTAAATAAGAGAGAAAGATACATTTGTAAACTTTTTTAAAACATTTTTCACTGTGTACGCTTTTCTACTGCTTCTTTTGTATTCATGAAAAATGACTGTTCTCGTTCCACTGTCCTAACCTATTTCCGAAATACGACAATGATAGAGAAAATGAAACAAATAATAAGAAGAGAGATAGTATGGTACTGCTACTGCATGTACATGGCAACAAACAATTTTTCTGCCAACAGATTTTTCTGTATTAGTCTTTGATATAATTAACACATGATCATTAGCATAGCCTGCCCATGAAGCATTCAGACTGAAGAATACTCTCACCGCTGATATCAATATAGCGTACGTTATCGCAGTACGGAAGAATTTTATTTTTCTCAGAGAACGAAAGACGAATCTCAGCAGAAACGCTTACTCAGCTCACAATCGTTCTTTACGTCCACTGCAGACGTAAAACTCTATCCGGTCTTCAAGAACAGCTTATCGTACAGAAGCGTTGTAATCACCAACAGACATAAAAAGATCAGTACACGATCAGTAACACCCGTTTATAATGATAGACAGAGAAATAACTGCAGTTATTTACTAACATGGGCACAAAATTCACAAAAACCCCGCGCATATGCTGCAGATTTAATAAAATTGACTGATGCACAACTGAGACGAAAACCATTGTTTACTCCATTTTTTAAGAAGAGCAGAAAGAAGGCTGTCGAACAAACGGCAACTGAATGCTGAATATAATTAGTAACTTCTTTCTTTTGCTTTCTTGCTTCTGTATTTTGCGACAAAAAGAAAATACTCACAATTTTTCTCATTTTATCAGCGCTGTCGATGTCACTGTTGCATTTCGGACGAAGAGAGATTCAGTATTTAGGCAGAAAATACGTTTGAGCACAGCTAAAAGCCAAAAATCTGCGCAAATCTGAGATTTTTGCCGCTTTTCATTGATTTATGTGCACTGTATAGAGCTAAAACTACGATATTCGTATTCAGCAATCAATTCT